AATTGCATTTAACGATTGACAATAATGTGACTTTGACTCGACTTTGGAAGCCATCTTAGCACTTTGCACTTATAAATTCTTTCTCGATGAATCAAAAAGACAATAATTCTATTACGAACAACGAACCGTTTGAGAGCAAATTTCCGCTTAATGTGACAACCTGAAGGGAATTTCGAAAGACACACAGTGGGCACTTCACACATTCCTATTCATTTACCTGCTAACCAATCCACTGCTAACGTACCCATATAAAGCTGCTATTGATTGTTGATATAATAACTATTGACAATGAGCAATTCGTTACAATGAAGACGATAAGTTAAGCAAATAGATCAGATTTTAGATGAAATTCTATGCAGCATAAAATAAAGAGACGATAAAATAGCCAAAATTCGATTCGAGAAATGCAATCAATGGAAGAAGCTGTGAGTGAAAAGACCAAATAAAAAACAAAACATGTTGGGCATTAATTTCAATAGCATTCGAGCAGTACAATAACGAACAATAACAACAGATGTGAGGACAATACTTTCGATGAAAATGTCAAGAAGATAATAAAGTGACGCTAAGAAATTTAACAACAAAGCGAATTAAGCGAAAGCAAAGCTATGGGCTGAATAAATCAAAATCAATCGGTGAACTGATTGAGGATAATGTGCTAGAAATCATTTATATATAACCGAATAGAGATAAGCAAAAAAAATGAAAATTAGACCGACGACAAGCAGCAAATCAACCGAATTCGCAAAGGCACTCTTCTCTAAGCAGACTACAATTCCTAATAGAGATATATTATTGTAAACAAAAGCGAACGCTCAACGTGCTGTCCAGTGTATTACGAATGATGACAACACAATAAAAAACAATGAAAGACGACGACAAGCAACGCTAAAATGAACAAAATAATCAACAATGATGTTCAACAACAACAACAATACTTTCAACATCAATACGAATGACGAAGTCGATCATCAATTCCTTTCGCTAGCAACAATTCATCAATCCTCAAACGCTTTTTCAACAATAACAATCTCGAAAAATCATTCTGCACGATCGAATTAATTCGCACGAACAACACTTACTGATGGCTCTTCATCTTCATCTTTACACAAGCTAACTTCACTTTCCCTTGAATTCACTTAAATCACCAATTTTCAATCCTCCACTAATCCAGCAAATATTCCTCGATTGAATGACTACTATCAATCACCTCATTCAAAAACCCAGCCCCACATTTCATATACGACCACAATAGAGCACCATCAATACGCGTTATTCATTCACTCATTTCACAATAAATTCTAGAACAACAACAAAAACAGCAATAACAACCAATACTCTAATAACACAAAAACATTCATCCGATGAGTCGTCACTAACGCAAAAATCGTTTCGCTGCTAAGAATCACACGACAGGCGGATGAAACTATTCTTTCTCGTTTAAATAATGATTTCGAGCTCAGCTGACGTTATTTTCACATGTTCACAGCCACTATCAACAACCGCTACTAAAAGCCACCCATCTCAAACGTAAGTGCTCACTCAAGTAGTCAGCAGTGTTCAGTTTTTCATGATGAAATTATTGCAATCGATATACCTAACGATGAAACGATTCCATCTAAAAATTAACTGATCAAATTAGTTCTTTGACGATTCATAAACTAAACAAACCATTCGAAGCATCACCATCAATAAATAATCTACAATATTATAAGCGAACGTCTAATAAATTCTTTCAAATGCTAAAAAACAGCCAGAGATTTTCAAAAGTGTTGTGTTTCATGTGTTGACATAATCAATCATTTGTTGTCATTTTCTTGATCGGCCAGGAATTGCTCAGCCCAAAAGATAGCTGCAGAGTTGGTATCGGCATTGCTGCCCTCTGAGGGTGTATTCGCACTCAGATCATTCAGCGGGTTCGTCGTCGTTGTTGCGGACGAGGATAATCCACTCGCCCAGATATTTGTCGCACCCCGACCGAATAAACTTCCAGACAAACCCAACGGATCGTCCATCAAACCATCAAATAAGCCACTCGTCGATGGCACTGATCCCGCGCCCAATCGTGAAGTGGCGCCCTCTGAAGCAGTCAACGCTCTATCAAAAGATTACGAACAACAATAATAAAAGCATCATTAAGATATCTCCAAATTATGTTCGCTCTACAAAAACGTTCGCACTCATCTGAATTGTACCTGTCAAAAATATGAAACGCTCTAAATAATAACAGCAAGAAACGACTAAAAGAGAATAAATGAAAGATCTATGTGTTTATCTAGTTAAAACGTCAGCAATNTAAATGAAAGATCTACGCTTATCTAGTTAAAACGTCAGCAATATCCCGTTAAACGTTTACGCTGATCAGCTGTGATTCAATCGGGATGACTTAAAAGAGCGAAAAATTTGCTATACTTTGAAACGATTAAGAAAACCCTTTCTCGTTTAATTAAGAGAACCCTTTAATTCCCTTTGTTCACATTCCTTTTGTAAGATTCACAAAATGGACAACTTCAACAAAAAAACATTTTGTAATTAATGACAATACAGAACAGAAAACAAACGAAAAAAGTGATTCCAAATAACTTAAAATGAAATACACTCAAATGCAGCGAAAGAATTGAAACTTGTTCCAAAAAACTGACTACTGCACGATAAAAAAATCAACGTTGGATTCGTTGTCTCAAAATGGTAAAGTTTGATGCGCAAATTTGAGAATACTATTCACTGGCCAAATAGCAAAATGTAAACGATATTTGATGATGACAGATTTGACAAAGCAGAGGACATAACGGACATATGAGTGTTGCTAGAAACAAGTTGTGAAATGCTATTCAATCAAAATGAAATTCAAAAAACGAACGATTCTGGACGGTCGCAGCTGAGGTGTTATTCATGCTGATGTTGGCATCTGTAAGCAGTTTCATGATCACCGATGATGAATCTGCGGTGGTATCAGTTGCTGTTGTTGTTGCGGCGGCTACGCCTAGTGCCGGTTGAACGGGCGTATTGTTGGTGCCAGCAGCAGCACAAGGGGCAGTGGCATCGATGAAGAACGGTTGTGCTTGAGGGTTCAGGCGGAATGCTCGCACCGACTGCGCCACTGCGTCCGTACTGCTGCTTTTACTGCCACTAGCCGCTCGATTTGTTGGCGGTCTCAACGGCCATACTGATGACTGACTTGAGGTCGTACCATCGCTGTCACCGATATTCTGCTGCTGATGCTGTTGATTCCATCGAGACATCGACGATCTTTGTTGAGAGCGTGTTGCATTCACATCGCCGCACCCCACCACTTCACCACTCATCTCGTACTCCATATCCCACAGATTCTCGGCCAACGCTGGCAATTTCAGATTGAAGCCTGGCCAAACTTCCCGCGATGCATCTTCTACTGCTGCTGCTGCGGCTGCACAAAACATTCAGTCAATTGAACATTTTTCAAATTGCATATTTACGATATTGTAAGGTTTACTGAATACTGAATGTACAATATATACATATATAGTACGTGTGTATAGTAGACGTTTATTAAATGTTGTCACGGAACTGAAATCTTAAAACAAAAGTAATTGAATCACTCACCGGCATTCGATTTGTTTTTCTTTTTCTTCTTCAGATACTTCTCTTCGGCAGTTTTACGTTCCATTTGGAGTTGTTGAATGAAAGCACTCGGTTTCAAAGCGCCGCCTGGCTTCTCAGCAGACCTGTTGAACGGTGGTATGTTCAATTGTTGAGAGGATTTTTGTTGCTGCGATGATCTGCGACGTTGTTTGGAATAAGGTTGTTGTTGTGGTTGTTGTTGATTGGGAATTGGTTGATAGGGATGCGATTGATTAGCGTGATAAACGGCATCGTTCTTGTTGGTTTGTGGCGATTGAGTTGGTAAATCTTTGTTTCGTGACGCTGAATTCGTCGCATCCATCGACGAACACGATGCACTTCGAGATGAGGCTGAAATCAGCTATGTAATGCAGCAGCAGATGCATCATCCCTTTAAACACTTACTGCTATTCTTCATCTCTGCTGCTGCTGCTAATGATCGCTATTCATAATCACCTATTTACTAATTACTAACTCTGCTAGTGCCTACAGACAGACATTTTGTTCGATCATCAATATTTCTTGCTGAGAATGTGAACGATGTTTCATTATGTACTGCTAAACACATAATTTGTTATGATTCTGATGCTAACAGTTTCCATGACACGAGATATGTCACGTTGCGAACAGGTACGCGCATTGAAAGTTTTCGAAAACTCCTTTCATCAATTACAAATAAAAATTTCCAAAAAACCGCTTATTGAATGAATGCTAAAGTGAGAAACAGAAATTGAACAGATATTATCAATCCAAAATAGTACACCGAAACAGTATAAAATAAGAACTGACCAGCACTCTGTTTATTGGCTTTCACAGGATAGAGATTGTTAGCGTTCGTATGCGCATTGTATTTCTTTTTTGCATTTCTTCTCGATGACTGTTTCGCTGTTTTGTGCTGCGATTGTTGTTGGTTCGCGAGCGAATAGTCGTATTCTTTATTCGTGTCGCCATTCTTATCGTTAGCATCGAACAAACATGCTGCAGCCATTGCCAGTGCACTGAAATCCTCATCGACGTTCCCTTCTGCAAACACTTATGATGATTACAATCATGATCGACTGCAGTAACCGATTCGACGACTAATTTGAGTACTTCTTCTCATTGTCAACACAATAACAATTGTTATTATTAGAACAGAAATGAAGAAGACATTAATTAAGTTATTGACGATAGTCATAATAATGGAGGTGATCAAAGCCCACCTAAACTATTTGCCAGATTTGAATCAGCCCATTCAGGTGCTGCGCTTGCATCACTCAAACCAGCTTCAGACCTTAAAAATTGTGCCAATAAAATTAACTGTTCTTAGACACCATGCGATTAGATGATTAAAATATAAAGTGAACATGTGAATCAAATAGCCAAGCAGCAGAACACAGAGTAAGCGTTTACCTTTCGTCAAGTGACTGTCTTGAGTGTGTCCAGTTTCTCGCGTCACACTCCGCACCACTGTTCAAACGTGCATGTGAATGCTGATCACTGACCATCTTATCGCTGATATCACAAACGTATCCTCCACCCGATGACAAGATATCACTGTCCACATCACCACTACTTATACTACTCGCCGTTCCTCGTTCTTCCATATCACCTGCCGATTCGAATGCAGCCGATGGCTCCAGTGAATTTGACTTACGAACGGTTGTTCTAGTGAACAGATTTGACCCTAACTTCATCGGTTCGTTCGATGCTCTTGTTGCTTTTGATCTCTTCGTCGTTAACTCATCACCACTTCTACTCAATCCTATAATAACGATCATTCAGTCGAATTAATCACTAATTAAAACTGTTTTGATACATTAATTCTACAATTACCTCCACACGTCATCTATCTCGAATTGCTTTTCTACAATATATTCGCTGTTCATTAAAATTCCTAATCATCAACGTTCATGATTCTATTCAACAGCACAACCTATGAGAATCATTTCACACAATCACCTCTTAAAAAATTATTCTCACAAAGTCATTTCGCATTATCTCCTTGGAAATTCGATACATATCGAAAATTATCGCATGGAAAAGACATTGAACGGAATCGATTCCGTTTGATTAAACAGAATTTTCAGTGGAGATATCAACGGACCTTCTTTGTGCTGCTTCAACTGATTCTGATGGAACTCGCGACTGATATCGCCATCGATGATCGCTTCAGTTCTTGCGGTTGGCGCTTGGCTCTGGTCGTTGGTCAAACTTCGTTGTTTCGATGATATAAGTTGTGCGTCTGATACGGACTCAGATCGCTTCCTTCCTCCATCGGTTCTCTGAGCAGCAGATACCTTTGGTGGCTGCTGTTGTTGCTTCGTCACAATACCATAATCGACATTTTCAATCCAATTCTGAACATTGCTGTTAATGAGTGCAGTTTGATTGGAATTATCTGATTTGCTGATCGCTGGTTCACGGCGTGCACTCGACGGTGATGGATCGGTGGATTTGGTGCGTTGCGACTGCGATGAGCTACTTGTTCGCGACGAGTTTCTTCCCTTCAATTTTCATTAATTTCACTACCACTCTATAATCACTGAGATTATCACCAATCATCAGTGACCGTTTCAAGATGAATCAATCAGAATAAATTTTCGAATCGATAAAGATATCACGAAAATAGTTCATTGACAATAATGATCCACAACGCAACAGGAGCACCATCAAAATCGCAATGTAAAACGTAGCAAAGCGAACCTTTTTCTTGGTACTTCTAATTTCTCCATTTATTTTGGGACTATTCTTCGACGGATTCCTGCCGTTTGCTTCATTTGATTTTGCAGCACTGCTAAAATTAACTATTCATTTAATTCTTCTAAACTGCAAGAATTAAATCTTTGAATTAAATGCCGATTAAATGTTCCATACAACTATTTATCTGAATAGCGAAGCAATACTTAGCTCAAAACATAGCCATAATGCCCACATGAAAGATATCCAATTGATCATAAAAGCCATGAATATTTCCCGGTGGGACGTAAACGTCCCATGGAAAGATCCATCGGTTTAACTGTCGGGGCAAAATTGGATAGGAAATGAAAATAATCGCAAATGTTGGAATGTAGTGATCAGTGTATTTGGAGAATCATGCACAGGAACAGCAACCTATGGAAGCAGATCAGATGATCGTAAAATACGCGAATAAATTTATTCGAGAAGTTTATATACACCTACATTCATCAAAAAGAAATTGTTCTTGAAAAAGGATGAATATCAAAGAGAGGNGTAAAATACGCGAATAAATTTATTCGAGAAGTTTATATACACCTACATTCATCAAAAAGAAATTGTTCTTGAAGAAGGATGAGTATCAAAGAGAAATCGAATCAATTGAGCACAAACGAACCCTTTATTGACGTTTCGTCTCGTATCACGATCAAACGAAACTATCAATCGTCCTGAAATAGTCTTGTAATAAGACATAATATTGCCATCTGTAGATGTGGTGGTATCTGCGGTCGATGTCTTCGTGGAGCCACGTTTCGCATAGAAGTTGTTGTTCGTTTGCACATGAATACTCTTTACGACCGGAGCTTTCGCTTTTGTGACACGATTTCGTTCGTTTTTCGATGACGGTGACGGCTGAAATTCAATCAGTTATCAATAGCGAAATCAATATTTCCTCAGCGAACTTTCCTTATCACTCAAACACAAACTGTAACTAACGAATGAAATACAATCACTGCTTTACTTACTTCTCAAGGTCATCAATTCCTTACGCAAATTCAATCCGATAGCTACACCCATTACAAATTAATCTGATAATTAAGAAAAACGAACACTCAATAAATTCGAAAGGTAAATTCCAAACAATCTCAGCGCCATTAGAT